CTGCTCCAGGGGCGGCTGCTGCAGTTGCTGGCGGCTCCAGGGGCTGCTGCTGCAGTTGCTGGCGGCTCCAGGGGCTGCTGCAGCAGTTGCGGGCGGCTCCAGGGGCTGCTGCTGCAGGTGCTGGCGGCTCCAGGGGCTGCTGCTGCAGTTGCGGGCGGCTCCAGGGGCTGCTGCTGCAGTGGCGGGCGGCTCGAGGCGCGCCCTGGCCTGGCGCAGTCCGTACGGGCCGCGCGCGGGCCTGGCGCAGCCCGTACGGGCCGCGCGCGGGCCTGGCGCAGCCCGTACGGGCCGCGCGCGGGCCTGGCGCAGCCCGTACGGGCCGCGCGCAGGCTGGACGGGCCGCGCGCGGGCCCTACGGAGGTCGCTCGGGCCACGACGGGCGACGGGGGGCGACGCGCGGCTCCCCATCGCCCGTCGCAGCTCCTCCCGGGGGCGACTCGCGGAGTGACGGGGCAGAAAGCCGCCGCGCGCCTCGGGGCGCACGGCGGGCAGAAAACCGCCGCGCGCCTCGGGGCGCACGGCGGGCAGAAAACCGCCGCGCGCCTCGGGGCGCACGGCGGGCAGAAAACCGCCGCACGCTCCGAGCGCGCGGCGGGATGAAAAATTAGGGTTTGGCCGCCGCGCACCACGGGGCGCGCGGCGGACAGTACGGCAGCGGAAGCAGGTGGTGGGCCCATACAGGAAGGCGGCAGGAACGTGCCTGCTCTGATACCATGTCAGAATCACTAGGCAAGGATGATTGAAAGGAGAGAGTGGATTGAACTAGCAGGCAGTTGAGTACAAATAGCAAACCCTAGATTGGGCTGTACTCGCTATAGAGTACCCCACTGCAGGCTAGACAATAATAGCATTCTGACACTGACATGGTATCAGAGCGAAGGTCTCGGGTTCGAATCCCGGTGTGTGCACCTCGGGCATCCCAGTGCGGGGGGGTGTTAGAGGTCCACTGGTGATCCCCGATTGATCCTAGGGAAGGGTTACAGGCACGTTGGCCTGGGGGGTTATGGGCGCACTCACCCGCTACACAAACAAGCCCTTTAATAGTTTTTTGGTGGCACTGGCGGGTAAATGTTTTTGTACACTGTTTGCTGTTGGTGAAAAGTGCTACCAGGCTGTGATTGAGTAGCGAGGTGCAGAAGTTGACGAGGGGTGAAGCGAGGGATGCGAAGAAAAAACAAGTTGCAGGTTGTTTCCGAACCATCTATGCACGGAAACTGGTTCGGTGCCGAAGCTAAGCTACCAGCAAAGTTTCCAGCCTCCCGAAAGTCTCATGTACCTAGCATTTTGTTTTGCAATTGCTCTAGGGGCAAAACGGGGAATGTGTCGCACAGTCAACTTTCAACTCGTCACTCCACTTCGCCCACTCAAACAAGGTGACCCTGTCAAAATAATGTGCACGAATGAGTCACTAGGGAGCATGGATTAGTTCAAGTGGCGCAATGTGTAACCCTAAAGTGTTGTATTCAATAGAGGCTACCCCACTACAGCCGACAACATAGTTTGTCACACCCCCATAGGCAAAGTGGGGGATAGCAAGAACAACCAACAAGTGGTCACAAGACCAGTCAAGCAAGAGAACAAAGCAAAGAAAAGCTCAGGGTGGATCTCAAGATCACCACGTAGTCTGAGCACAAGCAAGTGACCACAAGGCCAGTTCACATGCAGAGTTATAAGAGCACAAGAAGTAGTGATCACAACCAAACAAAAGCAAGCATGCAGGTAGATATATATAGATCACACTACAAGACAAAATCAAGCAACCACCTGTCGAGATAGTAGCTAGAATGAAGGAGCCATAGCTAGGGTTTAGCTAGCTAGGCAAGAGAGAATAGGCAAAAGAGGGTTTGACTAGAAAGAAGGGAGGTACAAATAGCAAGCCCTAAAAGGGTTTACTCACTATTGAGTACCCCACTACAGACTAGACAAGCATTATATTCTGACACACCCCCATAGTCAAAGTGGGGTATAATCAGCACAGCAAGCAGTCATAGTGCAAGTTCACAAGGACAAGCAAAGCTAGAGGCAGTCACACAGGGCAAGTGAGGAGGAGGAGTGAATGTGAGAGGAGAAGAGATGAGAGGCGACGGCTGAAGCTGCAGACACACGGGCCACAGGAGCGGCTGGCTCAGTTGCTACCGGAACAAAGGCCCCGGACTACAGGAGTAACAGGCTCAGACAGGAGCAACGGACCCACGGGCGACAGGCGCAGCAGGCTCTCTGGGCTACCAGCGGCAAAGGCCCCTGACTACAGGTGCTGCGGACGACAAGACTGCTACCTCCACTCAACCTCCCCCGACCGTCCCACACCCCTCTCACACACCCCTTGCTGCACCCCTAGCTCCACTCCCACGTCACCCCCCTAGCACCACTCTGGCTCCCACACACCCACCCCCCTCAGCGACAGCTGCGACAGTGGGAGACGGAGGAGGAGGAGAAGTAGGGGACGGCGCACACACCCTGCACCCCCATAACCGCCACCCCCACACTCGCCACCCAAAAACCCAAAAACGGGTGACACGGGGCAGGAGCACGGGGGACGGCGTGGGGGACGGCACGGGAGACCGCGTACGGCACTGGAGCAGGCTGCCCGGGCTGCGTGCGGGCCTGGCGCAGCCCGTACGGGCCGCGCGCGGGCCTGGCGCAGGCCGTACGGGCCGCGCGCGGGCTGTACGGGCCGCGCGCGGGCCTGGCGCAGCCCAGACGGGCCGCGCGCGGGCCTGGCGCAGCCCGTACGGGCCGCGCGCGGGCCTGGCGCAGCCCGTACGGGCCGCGCGCGGGCCTGGCGCAGGTCGCGCGGGCCGCGTCGGGCGACGGGGGGCGACGCGCGGGTCCGCGGGCTCCGTGACGGGCGACGGGGGGCGCTTCGACGGGCGACGGGGGGCGCTTCGACGGGCGACGGGGCGGTCGACGGGAGGGGGGGAAGCGCGGGTCCCCGGGGTGACGCACGAGGGAAGAAAAAAAACGAACATCGCGCGCCACGGGACGCGCGACACACAGGAAGGCAGCGGAAGCAGGCGGGCCCACAGGCCAGGAGCGTAACCGCTCTGATACCATGTCGAGATAGTAGCTAGAATGAAGGAGCCATAGCTAGGGTTTAGCTAGCTAGGCAAGAGAGAATAGGCAAAAGAGGGTTTGACTAGAAAGAAGGGAGGTACAAATAGCAAGCCCTAAAAGGGTTTACTCACTATTGAGTACCCCACTACAGACTAGACAAGCATTATATTCTGACACCACCAAGTGAGGCAGAGTAAGCAAAAGGCTTAGAGTAGTGCAGAAACGCTGATGATCACCAGACCCAAGGGCCTTGGTGAAGACATCAGCAGTGTTGGCCCGAGAGGCCACGCAAGCAAGGCAAAGCTGACCACGCTGCTGCAATTCTCGAGCGAGAAAGTAATGAAGAGCGATTTGCTTCGTTCTGTGCTCTAAACTCTGCTCCTGACACAAGGCAATCATGGCCTTGTTGTCGACGTACAGAACTGGAGGAGAACAAGGCCGCTCACCCAAGTCGATCAGCAGGTAGGTCAGCCAGCGTAACTCCTGTGCAGCCATAGCCCCAGCGTAGATCTCGGCCTCATAGCTGGAACAAAACATAAAATACGAACGAGTGGACTCCCACAAGACAGAATCAGGGCCGAGTCTGAAAGAGTAACACTGTGACGAACCCTGAGTCGCCTGGTCATAGGCCCAAAATGCGTTGGAGTGTCCTGTGAGTACCACGAAACCCCGTCCTCCAAGCACGAGCCCCATGCATAATGTACTGCACAAGTAAAGCAATACCCTCTGCGTAGCTGTCCAGTGCTCCTTCCTGTGTCGCCCGGGTGCGACAAAGCGGACAAGGATGCTGAGAGGGTACGTGAGGTCAGGTCGTGTGCAGGTCATCAGGTACATGAGGTAGCCCACAAGCTCTGGATACGGGCCACTCAGCTCTACGGACTCGTCCGAAGGTGGAGCTGAGAGCGAGTGGCCTCTAGGCGGAGGAGTGCGATGTGGCGAGGAGTACTGAAAGCCGAAGCGCTGAAAAAGCTGGTGCACCATGTGTGACTGAGTCAAAGTGATGGTGCGTCGTGCTCTGTCCCGGGTGATCTGCAAGCCAAGATAGCTACGCAGCTCACCAAGGTCAGCGCAAGTGTGTCTCTTCCACAGCTCCGCCTTCACTAGGGTCAGCGCCTCAGTGTTGGCAGTAGCAAAGACCAAGTCGTGGACGTACACGAGGATGTAGAACGGTGACAGAGTAGGGTCGGTGCGCAGAAACAGCGACAGTTCAGTAGCCGAAGGAGCAAATCCAAGAGTTACAAACGTCGCCTCAGTGTGTCGTGCCACTCGCGCGGCGCCTGGCGGAGACCGTAGACCGGCCGCCGGAGGTCCCACAGGGTACCCTCAGGAAACGACCCAGTGAAGCCAGGTGGACGGCGCAGCCAGATCTCCTCGTGCAGGCTACCCTGCAAGAAAGCTGTGGAGAAGTTGAGGAAGTGCAACTCGTAGTCACGCTGTGCTGCAACGTGCAGTAACACCTGAAGAGTAGTTGTCTTCAGGGTGGGGGAGAAGGTTTGGAAGAAGTCGACCCCTTACCGCTGACTGAAGCCTTGAGCAGCGTAACGCGTCTTGAAAGTAGGGGAAGAACCCGGCGACCGCTTCACTATGAAAATCCACATGCCATCGACTATGTTGCCCCAAGAGGGGGAACCTTGTCGACGTAGGTGCCTGTGGACTTCCAGGAAGCCATCTCGGCTTCCATGGCTGTCTGCCACTGAGAGGAGTACTCACCCGTGATCGCCTCTGCGTAAGAGCGCGGGGTAGGGATGTCAAGTGCATTCGGGTCTCCTTCAGGGCAAAGCAGCGTGGAGCCTGTCCTCAAGGACATCACTGCTAAGGGCAAGCTCACCCCCGAAGGACGGAGGACAGAACGACTCAGTCTCAGTAACAAGACTTGCGACGTAGTCAAGAAGACGGGTAGCAGCAAAGTCGACTAGCTCTGTGAGTAGGGCAGACGCAGTAGTAGACTAAAAGGAAGGGTCAGTGACGATAGTGGCGAGGAGACGAGTGACAGTAGGACTAGCAGCACGAGCATGGTCAGACTCAGGGTCAGGAACATCAGGAAGAGAGGATGCCGGAGGAAACGGCAGTGCAACACGTTGTGGAACAGAGGAAGGACGAAGTGCCATTGTGTGCGTGCCAAGAACATGTGGAGGACGAGGACGACGAGCACGACTGATAGTGCAAACAGAGGAGGTAAGACTTGACTCAGGCTCACGACGTTCTGCGAAGGACCCTGTCTGCACACGATAAGGAGACGGAGTAGGCATTTTGGAGCCAGGCAGTAACGGTGGCTGTGACTGGTCAGGCGGAGGACACAGGAGAGGCGGAGTAAGGCCAGTGGAAGACAGAAGACTAAAAACAGAACGAAGTGCCGAGTCAGGCGGTGGTAGGGACGACTGCAGCTGCGGGTAGAAAAACGGGCGGCGCGACGGAGTACCCGTACTGCCAAGCACCTCCAGCTCCAGTACCTCCAGCTCCAGCACCTGTAGTACCAGTAGCTCCAGTACCTCTAGCACCAACAGCTCAAGTACCTCAAGCACTACCAGCTCTAGCACCTCCAGCACCAGCAGCTCCAGTACCTCCAGCACCTCCAGCTCGAGCACCACCAGCACCAGCAGCTCCAGTACCTCCAGCACCTTCATCTCTAGCACCTCCAGCACCAGCAGCTCCAGTACCTCCAGCACTACCAGCTCTAGCACCTCTAGCACCAACAGCTCCAGTAGCTCCAGCACCTCCAGCTCTAGCACCTCCAGCACCAGCAGCTCCAGTACCTCCAGCACCTCCAGCTCCAGCACCTCCAGCACCTCCATCTCTAGCACCTCCAGCACCAGCAACTCCAGTACCACTAGCTGTTGAAGTAGGTAGAGGATCCTAGGCTTAGGAGAAACCCTAGCCTAGGAGAATGTCGAGAGGAACGAAGGTGAGTTGGCCAAAAGGGGATGTTCACTATAGTGTGAGCAATACAAATAGGCAGGAATCAAGAAAGGTGCACCACCAAACAGAAAGTGATATGACTACAGTATTCTACACTACAGGCAGTTATAGAACAATATATAAAACTAAATATTATTCTGACACGCCCCCATAAGTGCCTGTAGGGAAGAATATGCAATCAACGCCCCCATAATGGGGTACACCAGACAGAGTGCAGCGGAAGAAACAGTGGCAGGCAAAAGCAGTGATAGCCGGTGCAGAAGTGGCAGATCCAGTTGTACCAAACCCTCCGCCAAGGCAGAAACAAAAGCAGGTGTAGGAGCGGCAGGTCGCCTGAGGAGCAGGCTCTGTGGCTGCAACGTGCAGCAGGACAGCAGCGGCTCGACGGCAGCACCTGCAGGCCCCAACAGCAGGCAACAGAAGCAAAGGCAGCAAAGGAAGGTGGCGGCAGGGGCGGCAGCTGGAGGTGCCACATCAGCAGCGAGCGACAGCAGCAGATGACCGGCTGACTTCCGTCGCCCCCTCACTCTCCCCCCCACAGCGGCACGTGCGGCAGTGAGAGAGAGAGGAGGGGCGGCAGCTTCTTGCTCACACCCGCCACCCCAAACCCTCCCCCCCCCCACTGCTGCACGCGCAGCAGGGAGAGAGAAGGGACGGCGTGTGGCAGGTTAGCGGTGTGGCGCAGCAGCGAACAGAGAGGCGTCAACCACCCTCGCGCCTCCCCCCCCCCCCCCTCCCCCCCCCCCACGACGAGAGTCGCGGAAGGGAGGGGAGGCGGCGTACGCTGCTGCTGGCGCTGGCGCTCGCAGAAGGCGCTGGTGCCGGTGCTGGCGGCCGTGTTGCGTAGGCGCTGGCGCTGGAGCACGCGCTGGCGCAGGTAGCTGGCGCACGCGCTGGCGCTTGCGCAGGTCGCTGGCGCACGCGCGGGCGCTGGCAGCTGGCGCACGGGCTGGCGCAGGTCGCCAGCGCACGCGCTGGTACCTTCGCACGCGCGGGCGCTGGTTGCTAGCGCACGCGCGGGCGCAGGTTGCTGGCGCACGCGCTGGCGCAGGCGCCGGCGCTTCGGGTCGCAGCAGGTCCGAAATCCGAAATTTTGCCAGTGAGAGCGCGGCGAGGCAAGCGTGGCGCAACGAACCAGCGAGGCGCTCGCCATGAGAGCGAGAAAAAAAAAAATCTTAGGCCCGAGGATCTAGTAGCTCTGATAACATGTTGAAGTAGGTAGAGGATCCTAGGCTTAGGAGAAACCCTAGCCTAGGAGAATGTCGAGAGGAACGAAGGTGAGTTGGCCAAAAGGGGATGTTCACTATAGTGTGAGCAATACAAATAGGCAGGAATCAAGAAAGGTGCACCACCAAACAGAAAGTGATATGACTACAGTATTCTACACTACAGGCAGTTATAGAACAATATATAAAACTAAATATTATTCTGACACTAGCACCTCCAGCTCTAGCACCTCCAGCACCAGCAGCTCCAGTACCTCCAGCACCAGCAGCTCCAGCACCTCCAGTACCTCCAGCTCCAGTACCTCCAGCACCAGCAGCTCTAGCACCAGCAGCTCTAGCACCTCTAGTACCTTCATCTCTAGTACCTCCAGCACCAGCAGCTCCAGTACCTCCAGCACCTCCAGCACCTCCAGCTCTAGCACCTCCAGCACCAGCAGCGCCAGGACCTCCAGCACCTCCAGCACTAGTACTCCAAGCGGCAAGAACCCGGCCCCATCGAACAACCCACTCGCGAAGCTGCTGCGGCAAGATGGTCTCTTGTCGACGAAACTGCTGCTACTGTCCAACACCAGAACCCCTAGCAGGAGCACCTACGACTCCACCACCACTAGGACTCGCAGCAGCCTGAGTGTCAGCACCCCCAGAACCGACACCCCCAGAGTCAGCATTCCCAGAACCAACACCCCCCGACTCAGCAACCCGCGGACCAGTACCCCCAGTGTCACCACCTCAAGCAGCACCAGAGTCCACAGTGACAGGCTGCGGAGGCGGCGAAGACGGCCGAGGAGGGATCTCCAGGCACGGGGAGCGACGAGTGGCCGCCTTATCGACGTATCGTCAGCAGCAGGGTCACCCTCCTCAGCTAGGCCAGAGGTGTCATAGGAGACTCTCAAAGTAACTAGGCAAGAATGAATGAACTAGTAGAAGTTTGGGTACAAATATGAAACCCTAGTTGGGGTTGTACCCCATATTGGCTACCCCATTACAGCCTACAAGCATAATACAGTTTAACACACCCCCATAGGCAAAGTGGGGGAGAACAAAGGGTCACAAGACCAGTCCAGCAAAGCAAAGCAAAGCCCAGGGTGGATCACAACGTCACCACGCTCCGAGCACAAGTAAAGGCCACAAGGCCAGTTCACATGCAGTGCTAGATATAGTACAAGACAAACAACACAGTGATCAAAACCTAGCAAGCAAGTAACAAGATATATATAAAGTACAGTACAAAGAATGTCAAGCAGTGAGCAAGTGAGGAAACGTGGACACAAGGCCTAAAGAAGTACAGTGCCGCTGATGATCACTAGGCGGGAGCGCCTTGGTGAAGATATCAGCAGTGTTGGCCTTCGAGTCCACGTACACAAGCCGAAGCTGACCGCGCTGCTGAAGCTCTCGAGCAAGAAAGTAGCGAAGAGCAATGTGCTTCGTCCTGTGCTCCAGTCTGTGCTCCTGACACAAGGCAAGAGCCGCCTTGTTGTCACCGTACAGAACTGGAGGAGAACTAGGCCGCTCTCCCAAGTCAGTCAGCAGGTAGGTGAGCCAGCGTAACTCCTGTGCAGCCATGGCTGTGGCGTAGATCTCAGCCTCACAACTAGAGCCGAGAACAGAGGAAGAGCGGGTGGACCGCCACGAGACAGAACCAGAGCCAAGGCTGAAGGTGTAACCCTGTGACGACCGCTGCGTAGCCAGGTCGTCCACCCAAGAAGCGTCCGAGTGGCCAGTGAGGACAACTCTGTCGCGTCCTCCAAGCACCAGCCCCATGCCTGATGTACTGCACAAGTAGCGCAGCACCCTCTTAGCAGCCTCCTAGTGCTCTCGCCTGTGTCTCCCAGGTGCAGCCTGCTGCACCATGTGTGACTGAGTCAGGGTGATGGTGCGGCGAGCTCTGTCCCGGGTGATCTGCAAGCCAAGGTAGCTACGCAGCTCACCCAGGTCAGTGCAGGTGTGTCTCTTCTGCAGCTCCGACTTCACACGAGCGAGTGCCTCAGTGTCAGCAGTAGCAAAGACCAAGTCGTCGACGTACACGAGAATGTAGAACGGCGGCAGCGACGTGTCTGTGCGCAGAAACAGCGACGGGTCAGCAGTAGACGGCGCGAACCCAAGAGCCGCAAGTGTAGTCCTCAGTGTGTCGTGCCACTCGCGTGGCGCCTGGCGGAGACCGTAACGTAACGAGCCTTGAAGACAGGCGGAGAACCTGGCGGCCGCTTCACCCTGAAAATCCACATGCCATCGACGATGTTCGCCCCAGGAGGGGGAACCTCGTCGACGTAGGTGCCTGTGGACTTCCAGGATGCCATCTCTGCGTCCATGGCTGTCTGCCACTGAGAGGAGTAGGGACCCGAGATCGCCTCTGCGTAAGTGCGCGGAGTGGGGATGTCTAGTGCATCCGGGTCTCCCTCAGGGGCAAGCAACGAGGCCACGAGATGAGGTACAGCAGCCGCGAGAGAGTCAAAGTCCTCCTGCCTGTCCTCAAGGACGTCCGTGCCAAGAGCACACTCACCCCCGACGGACGGAGGACAGACAGACGCAGACTCAGACCCAGCAACAAGGCGAGCAGCGTAGTCTAGACGACAGGCAGCAGCAAAGTCAACCAACTCAGCGACCAGAGCAGACGCAGCCGAGGACTCAAAGGTAGGGTCAGTGACAACAGTAGCTAGGAGACGCGTGACAGTAGGGTGCTCAGCACGATACCGGTCAGACTCAGGGTCCGGAACAGCAGGCAAAGAGGACGCAGGAGGAGACGGTAGAGGGACACGCTGAGGAGCAGTAGAGGGACGCAGAGTCATGTAGTGAGTGCCTGGGACAGGAGGAGGACGCTCACGACGGACACGACGACCAGTGCGAGCAGTACGGACAGGCGACGCAGGACGAGACTCAGGCTCACGACGCTCTGCAAGACCTCCTGTGGGACCAGTGTAAGGAGAGGGAGCAGGGAGAGGCGAGGTAGGCGGTAACTGTGACTGCGGCTGGACAGGCGGAGGACACTCGACGGAGGGAGGAGGACAAGGAGGAGGAGCCTGCCCAAGAACCTGCTGAAGGAGCGGTACGAAGTACGGTCGCGGCCGCGCAGCGTCTCCAGAAGCAGAAGAGACTCCAGCGGCCGGGTCCTCAGTACCAGCAGGAGCTCCAACGTCCGGGTCCCCAGCACCAGCAGCAGCGCCACCGCTCGGGTCCTCAGCTCCAGCAGCAGCTCCACCAGGTGGGTCCGCAGCACCAGCAGCAGCGCCACCCCCAGGGTCCGCAGCACCGCTAGGAAGAGTACCCCCAGAGGCGGCAGCTCCAACTCCGCTAGCACCGCCAGCGCCAGAGTCCCCAGCTCCAGCAGCTCCAGTCGTAGTGCTCCCAGAACAACCAGTCCCGGCAGCTCCAGTACCCCCAGGACGAGCAGCTCCAGCACCCCCAACTCCAGCCGAGCCACGAGGACGGCGGAAGCGCCGGACGTACCAGTCACGAAGCTGCTGCGGTGTGAGAGACTGCTCAGCACCCCGAACCGGAGCACCCCCAGACGCAGCAACCCGAGGCTCCGTAGGCTCAGCAGCAGCACCCCCAGGCTCAGTACCCGCAGGCTCAGCACCCCCAGACTCAGCACCCCCAGACTCCGCACACGCAGGCTCAGCACCCTCAGTCGCCGCACCCCCAGGCTCAGCACC